ACGAAACGTGCAGTTCCCAGCCGCTGATGCGCTCGACGAACGATTGAATCGCATCGATGAGTGGGTTCTAGTTGTCGTTGGAGCTGTCGGCTATCAAGCAATTGCATCGCTGTGCGCCGGGCCCAGCCGCGCGGCAGAGTCAATTTTGCTCGTGAAAACCTTGGGTCCAAGGGCGTCGCGCCCCGAAACATAATCGCGCGGCGCTTCGAAATGGAGCCTCCTGGATCCCAGATGCCATTTTGGTTTGTTCTTGTTCCTTCTGTGGGCACCATAACCATAGCGATGCGTAATGAACCGGGAGATGCAATAGCAAATGCATGCGCCAACCGCCAGATCGTGCGGGAAGATGGACGCATGCCTGTTGTCACCAGTCGGCGCGATGCTCACAACATTGCTGCCCAAGTCCTTCTTGAGCACTTCGCCCCGCCGGGCGCGGCGACGAGCCTGGAGGGGGATGTGATTCACGAGATGCTCCCTGGACTGACCGAACTCATTGACATAATGTGTGATGAGCACTGCCAAAATGTGCCAGCGCACCAGCGATGGAGTAGAGTTCTCCTGGCTGTTCGTGAGGTCATGTTGTCCTTTTATGGCAGATGGGCTTCATGCCGCTTTCCCTTGCCGAGAAGTACAAAGCCCTGCGGGCGCTGGAGCCGCTAACTCTTCTCAAGGGTTGACTGACGCTTTTGCGTTGGACAGTCGCATCAGGTCGGCGACTCAATCGTCAGACTTGTTGGAGAAATGGACTGAAGGCCTGGGCAATGAAGTCCGTCGTGAAGTTTGGCGTCGTTGTGGCGACATCCAATTTGCTGTTGAGTTCATGGGCTCTTTTGATGGTGCTACATCGATGGCGAACGCCCGGCTGGCCATCGGCCGTTATTGGACACTTTGTTACGGGTGCGGCCATTGGCATCATCAGACATATAACGAACAAAACTGAGGGGTCGGCCTAGCCGGACCGCCCGCTGCAGCCCTAGCGACTCAGTCGCGCCAGGGGCTGATATCGAGCCTTCTGGAGGCTCAGTAACCCCAGGAACAGGTGCTGATGCTCCTGGCGGCTCCGCCGTTTCGGAGCAGAAAGCAACAGCCCCTGGCGGTCGTGCCGATTCAGCGGGCAGCGCCGAAATGGCGTCTGTCTCCAATGCGCCACCGTCGCCGGACGACGCGAGAACAGGCGAAGGTGAACGGAGGCCTTCGACACCTCCAAAACGTCCCACGCATTTTCCAGAGGTCGCTTGGCCAGGTTGGCAGGATAGGCGCACTTGCATGCACAGCCAATATCATCCGAGGTCCATTGGCGCAGCCGCGTCGGACGCCGATCCCAACCGCGACAACAGATCGCTTGAGTTCCACGCGGGATGGATCGAGTGGAATCGGCCATTTGATGGCGCGCGGCGCGCGCGTTGTGCAGAGGCACGAATGCCAGGGGGGGGCCCGCCACGAGTGCACTGCGCGGCGCCTGGCGCGGTCACGCGCGCGCCGCGCTGGGGGGCGGAGGACCGCGCCGCGAGAAGTGCGGCGCCTCCGTCGGGCACGCGGGGCGTGGGGCCCACCCCTGCGCCGCGCGGCGCAGGGGGTGCCGTTGCTCTTAAGGGCGCCTCTTTCGTTTGCTTGGTCGCCGTATGGTGTTTGGCTTTCGCCGCCCCACCTCCCCTCGCGGTCGGTTTCGTTCGTGTGGTCGTCGGTCGCCTCGGCGTCGGCCCCCGTGTCGCGTCCGTTGTCCTGGCCCCGTCTTACGTTTGGGCTCTGTGTCGGGCGCGCTTCGGTCCTGGGCCTTCGGTCTCGCGCCCGCGCGTCTCGGTGTCTCCGTCGGCTTCGCCCTGCCAGTCTGTTCTGGTCTGCTTCGCCCGTCGGCCGCGGCTCTCGTTGCTCGTCGCCCTGCCGCCGTCGCCGTCTCGGCCTTTGGCGGTGTGTTCTTCTTGTCTCTGGCTTCGCGTTCTTGCTGCCGCGCTGTCGGTCGTTCGGGCCCTCGGTCGCCTGCTCTCCCTCGGGCCCTCCGTCCCCGTCCTCGCGCCCCCTCGGCTTGGTCCCCGCGCCCTGCCTCCGCGCGCGGTCCGGGCCGCTCGCTGTCTCGCTCGGCGTCGCCGCCGTCGCTCGCGCCGCCGCCGCTGTTTGCCGTTGCGTCTGGCCGTCTGCTGTTTCCGCGCGGCGCCGCCGCCGCCGCCCGGGCCGCGTCCGCCGCTGTCCGTTCGCGGTCGGTTCCGCTTGCCGTCTCGCTCGGCGTCGCCGCCGTCGCTCGGGCCGCCGCCGCCGCTGTTCGGCCGCCGCTTCCTCTTTCTTGGTGCGTCTGCACGACGTGCTTCGCCCGTGCGTTGCACCCCTCGCGCTGCTGCGGCGTGCGCGCCCGTGCGGCTTCGCGCGCGCGGCGTGCCCGCGGTGCTCCCGCGCGTGCGAACGACCCGTGCGCTTGCGACCCGCCGGTCCCGCGAACGCGCGCCCGTGCGGCACCGCGTGCGTGAATCGTCCGCGCGTTCACGACGTGTGCGCCAGTGCAGCACCGTCGCGCAGCGACGCGCCGGCCCCGCGTGTGCGCCCGCACAGCACCGCGTAGAGGTGGCAATGTGCCAGCGCGCTAACGACGCGCCGGCCCCCGCGTGTGCGCCCGTGCAGCACCGCGCGCACGTGGCGTCCGCGTGATCATGACGTGCGCGCAGAGGCAGCACCGTGTGCGCGCGTGTTGCGACGTGCCGTTCCCGCGTGTGCGCCTGTGCAGCACCGCGTACAAGAAGCGTATGACGTGTGCGCCAGTGCTGCACCGTCACGCAGCGACGCGATGGCCCCGCGTGTGCGCCCGCGCAGCACCGCGTAGAGGTGGCAAAGTGCCAGTGCGCTAACGACGCACCGGCCCCGCGTGTGCGCCCGCGGAGCACCGCGTACAAGAGGCGCCCGCGCGATCATGTCGTGTGCGCTAATGCAGCACCGAGTGCGCGCGTGTCGCGACGTGCCGTTCCCGCGTGTGCGCCAGCGCAGCACCGCGTGCAAGAAGCGTCCGCGCGACCATGACGTGTGCGCCAGTACAGCACCGTCGCACCGCGACGCGCCGGCCCCGCGTGTGCGCCCGCGCAGCACCGCGTAAAGGACGCGCCCGCGCGCTAACGGCGTGCGCACCAGCGTATCACCGTGGGCGCGCGCACCGCGGTGTGTAGCTATCGCGTGTGCGTTAGTGCAGCTCCGCGTGCAAGAAACGCCCGCGCGTCCAGGACGTGTGCGCCTGTGCAGCACCGTGCGCGCGCACGTGCCACGTCGTGCCGTTCTCGCGTGTGCGCCCGCGCAGCACCGCGTACACCCTCGCGCAGTCGTTGCCTGTGCTTCGCCGCGCCGCGCAGTACGAGCAGTTTCCTCGGCCGCGCGCGCCGAAGAACCGCCGCGGGCATGGCGACCCTTGCGGACATTCTGGTCGATTGCGCGTCTTTCTTGCCTGAGGCGGGGCGCCGCGAGGAGATCGCGAAGGTCGCCAACGATGCTTTAGCGGGGGCCGGATTCAGCTCGCGCGAGAGTGTGGTGTTCGCCGAGTTTTCCGATCTCGGCACCTTGGCCGGGGCCCCGGGGTTCGCCGAGGCGGTGATTCGCCGCGCCCTCGCCGTCGTCAAAGAGGGAGCACTTGCGCTGCCCGCGGCGGACGGCGGGACCATCGCGAAGACCGAAGCGGCCGCCGCTCTGCACATCAATCTCGAAGAGCGGTTGGCGGCGCTCAATCTCGCCGGCCTGCCGCGCGAGCTCAAGCCGCCCTCGGTCCTCGTGGGCCAGATGGCGACGGATATCGCAAGGCCACTTGCGCGCATCGCGCGCCGCCCCGCGAACGCGACCTGCTGCGCGCGCAGGTTGAAGCGGCAGGGGGTCGCCGCGCCTTTCATTGCGTGCGACCTGCAGCAAGTTTTTGCCCGGCTGGTGCGCGGGCGAGAAACGCGCCACTTTGACCGTGTCGCAATGGCAAGCGGCGTGGGAACGGCGCCATCGCCCTCCAGCTCGCCCGCGGCGACCGCGCGATAGGCGCCGCGCGCCCGCGGCGTAGGTGCAGCGTGGCAGCGGAGGTCACTGACCAGTTGTCGCGCAGCGCGGCCATGGCACATCGTGAGGTGGTGACGCGCGTCGCTTTCAAAGCGCAGGCGCCCGGTCCTTTCCCCCTCGCGCCGCGCTGCGGGCTTCGCGATCCGCGCGGGCGGGGGGGCGCCGCGTGCAGCTCGGGCTCGTCTACGACGAACCAGGTCCGGTGTGACAGATTTCGACGTCAACGAGGCGCGCGCGGTGCCGGCGCCGCGATCGCGCGCCGCGGCGCGCAGCGTCAGGTGGCGAGCCGGTACTGCGACGAGATTCGCCGGACTGCCGAATAGCTGTGCGACCGCGAAGAGCCCTCGGCGCCTCCTCCGCGGTGCCCCGCGACGCCCCCGCGCGGCGGGCCCATGGGCGGCAGCAAGTGCCCCGCGGCCCCTGCCGCGGCGGCGGAGGGCGCGGGCTCGAAGCGCAAGGGCTGGGCCGGCAACGGCTGGGGGCGCGGCGGCAGGAAGCGCCCGCGCCGCGGCGAGCGCGGCGGCAAGTCGTCCGCCGCCGCCGGCCGCTGGGCGAACGACCGCTGAATTCAGGCCTGCGCGCGTTCTCGCGCACTCGCGCCCGTCCGCGTCGCGCGTTCGGCGCGCCGCAGGAGGGGCCGGCAGAAGTGCCCTCCTCGAGCGGGGCAAGCGAGGCGGCGCGCGCGCGCCGCTGGTCGCGCACGGCGCGCGCCTAAGTTCTTCGCGCGTTCGCTCGCAGGTGGGCTTCCCCATCTCGCGGTGCTGCAAGAAATTCGATCGTTCGTTCGGCGACCAGGTTCGCCGCGTCGCGCCGCCGGCGCCGCGTCGCGTCCGTGCCCGCCGACGACGCGCAGGATGGGCGCGGCTGGCTGGCGCGCGTGACGGCCCTCGAGGGCCCGAGTTACGCCGGCGCGGCAGAGGCGCCGCCCGTTCGGCGCGCTTCTCGCGCCCGCGCCGCGCCGCCGTCGCGAGGCACGTCCTTATCTGCAATTCATGCGCGACGCGGCTGATCCCGCGTGGGCGCGTTCGGAGCGGGTCAAGTTGCCTCTGGATTGCATTGGTGCAGTTGATTGGAATTGCAAGCGCTCCCTCGAGGAGGCGCGGCGTGAAAGGACGCAGATTCTTCGCGGGCTCGCCTGGGGGCGCCGCTGCGTCGTGGAGAGCGGCGAGCTGGAGTCGTGGTTCGCCAGCGCGGATCCGACCATCCGGAAGATCGCGGGGGGCTCGTGTCCGCCGCTCATGGAGCGCTTGGCGCGGCGCATCGACTGGCAAGACGCCGATGTCGTCGAATTCATCCGACAGGCCGCTCCGCGCGCGCGCTCCGGGCGCGGCGCAGTCCCCCGCGCTGCCAGGGCGCGCCGCTGACCGGCGACCTAGCGCTCGAGTTTTCCTTCCCCGCGTCGGCCGACAGCGCGCCAGAGCCGCTGCCAGGCCCTTTCGAAGGCAAGCCGCGGCAGCCCGCCCGCGGCCCGCGTAGCCGCGCCGAGCGCAGGCGCCGAGTCGCGGAACCGGCAGACCTTGCGCGGTTTGCGACGCGACGAGAACGAGGACGCCCTGTGGGCGGCGGTCTGGAAGGACGTCGAACTAGGGCGCATGGAGGCTCCGGTCGCCGTGGACTCGCTGCCGCTCGACCGCGTCGTGCTCTCAAAGCGTTTTTCAGTGACGCAGGGGCAAAAGATCAGGCCGGTCGACGACGCGACCGCGTCCGAATTTAACCCGCGGGCGCGGCTGGGACGCGCGATCAACCATGATTCGATCGATCAGCTTGAAGAGCTGGCGCGGGTGCTGGTGGAACGCGGCTGCCAAGCGCCCAGGTTCTGGAAGGCGGATGTCGACGCAGCCTGCCGCCGCATTGCGCTGCGCGTGGCGGCGCGAGCCGCGGCCTACGTCGTGTTCTTGTATCGCGGTAAAGCGTGCGCTGCGAGGCACAACGCGGCTTTCTTCGGGGCCACGAGCTCGGTCGAGAGCTGGGCGCGACTCGGCGCGCGGCATCTCGCATAGTTTCGCATCGCCGCGCGGCGCGGCACGCGCGAGCGTCGCGCGCGGCAGGCGCATTCCTCGCGGCGGTGCTGCGACGCGTGGTGTTCCTTCCTGCGCTCTGGTATGTCGACGATTTCATCAGCGCCGACGAGGGCGACGGCGTCGGCGATGCTGCCGCAGCCGCTGCCGAGCTGATTCGCATTCTGCTCGGCGACGACACCATCCAGGTACGTGAGCTGGAATGGGGCTCGCCACTCGTTGTGCTCGGCGTCGAAGTTCAGGCCGCGAGCGCCGCGTCGCCTCTGGCTCGCAGCGCCCATGACGCGCAACGCGCAGGCCACGAGGCCGGCGCCGCAGAAAGTCGAGCTGTGGTCCAGCATGATTCGCGGCCACTTGGCCGCGGACAAATTGTCGCCAGGCGCGCGCCGATCTCGCAGCGCGCCTCACGGCCGCGCCGCGCGCGGGAGGCGATGCAAGCAAGCTCGCCGGGCGTTTGTCGTGGGGCTGTGCATGCATGTTCAATAGACCGGGGAGAGCCCTGCTACGGCGCGACGCCGCGCCGGGCGTCGCGGTCGCGCGCCGGCCGGATTTCGCGCTCATCGTCGCAGGCCGCTGTTCGCGCGGGCCCGCAGTCGCGCATGCAGGCTCAACGAGCCACTCCAGTTGGCTCTGCGGTGGTGGCTGGGCGCGCTCGAGCGCGACCTATCTCGAGCGCGCCGCTGGGACCAGGCGCGGCGCTCAGCGGGGTCGGTCGCACGCGGCCGCGCGCTCGGCGCCGCCAGGCCGAGCGGCCCTCTGCCGCGATTTTCGCCGACGCGAGCGGGGCGCCAGCCCGCCTCGGGGCGGTGCTTTGCATCGATGACGAAATTCTGTACACAAGCCGCTGCGTGACTGATGAAGAAAAAGCGTGGTTCTCCGCCAGGGGGGATCAGCAGATCGCCAGATTGGAACTCTTGGCCATTGCGCTCGCGTTCTCAATGTGGGAAGGCGCGCGCAGCCGCGAACCGAGGCACGCGCGCGTTCGCGCGGCTCTCCACCGCGCGCAGGCTTGCTTCGGGACCGCGCCATCGCAGTGTGGAGCGACAGTGTAGGCGCCGAGGGTTCGCTCCGCAAAGGCAGCGCGAAGGCCTGGGATCACACGTGCGTCGTGCGCGCGCTCTGGCTACGGGCGGCCGTCCTGCGTGCGGCGCTGTGGATCTACCGCGTCGACGCGAAGCGCAATCCAGCCGACGCGCCCTCGCGCGGCGATTTCGCGCTGATGCGACGCCTCGCTGCGACCTGGAGCGAGCCAGTGCTCGCGCCCGTGTTCCGATGCGCGAGCGCGTGGGCCGCCCTGCGGCTTCCCAAGCTGTTCTGACTAAACGCGCGCGATGGCGGCCCGCGGCCGGCGTCCTCGCGGTGCGGCCGCGCGCGCCCCGGCGTTCCGGGGAAAGGCAGCAAGCCGCGCGTTTCCCGGCGTTCTGGGGGGAGGGTCGCAGCGCGCGCAAGGAGGCCCGCGGCAGCGAAGATGTCCGACCGCGAACGCACTGTATTCGTTTCAAGGGTTCGGCGGCTGCTCTACGATGTTGCGCCGCTACATGCGGTTGCCGCGGCGCTGTGTTTGTGGAACAATTCCGTTGCGTCGGAGATAGAGGCAGCTTGCGTCTTGCCGGCGCAGCGAGTTATCGGCGCTGTGCGCGCGCCGTCCCACGCGCGCGGCGCGTGCAGGAAGACTTGGACGGCTTCGCAGAGCTCGCTCCGCTCGCGGCGGACGCGATTCGCGCGCTGCCAGCGCGGGTCGCGGCCGACATGCAGTTTCCATCGCGTGGCGGCGCGCCGCGGCTGTCGCCCGAGTTGGCATCCTTGGCACTTCGCGAGCCGCACGCGTTCACGGCGCCGTCGACGCCGCCGGCCATCGTGCGCGAGGAGGCGGCAACCGCGCCGCTCCGTCGCGCGCGACGCGTCGGCGCCCCGGCGCGCCTTCTAGAGCTCACCAGATTCCAGCTCTGAGAGCGCCGATTCCTCTTACTCGAGCAGCCCGAGCGTGCAGTCCGTGAGCTCCTCGCCGGCGCGTCGCGAGCGCGTGCCAGCCTCGTCGCCCGACCCGGTGGGCCCGCGCCCGCCGGCCGGTCCGCCGCCCTGGTTTCGCGCCAAAAGGCCTCAGGGTTCGCGAGCGAGCGCGGCTGAGCAGGTGATGTCGCGAGTGTTTTCAGCTCGCAACGTGGTGCAGGCGCCAGAGGGCGGCCCGCGCGCTGCTTGTCGCGAGCTCGCCGCGTCGCATCAGACCGACGGCGAACGCGCGCGATGGCTGCGCGGCGCGTGGTTCACGTCTCTCTCTCAACTCGCCCCAGCGTCGAAGCGGAGCCTCTGCAGCGCCTGGCGCGCGTGGTTCGAGTTCGCTGAAAAATTCGGCGGCGACGCGGCGTGCCAGCTGCCGCCCAGGCTGGGCTTCCTGCTGGACTGGGCTCACTGTTTCGATAACTCGCGAACGTGCGGCAATTACGTCGCGCACTTGCGGCGCGCGTGCCTTTTGAGCGCCCGCAGCGTCGAGGTTTTCCAGCGCCCCGCGGCGCGCGAGGCGCGCGCCGGCATCGAGCGGCGGCGCGCGCGGCATCGGCGAAAGCCACGTTTCATTCAGCGCGACGTGCTTCGCGCGATCGCGGCAGCGTGCGAAGCAGGCCGAGTCGCGCATCGCGACTTCATGGTAGTGCTTTTCAGCTACGTGTTGCTCTTAAGGGTGCCCTCGGAGGCGGTGCCGGCGACCTCTGCCGGCCCTCGGTCCGATGCCGGCTCGCCTCGCTCTGTTGCGTTCGACGGCGCCCGCGTTTTCTTCCGTTTGGCGCGCCGCAAGAATCTGCGGCAGGGCGGCCCTGTAATGAGCCGCGGGTGCTGGTGCTCCGCATGCCCCGCCACCTGTCCCGCCCACGTACTCGGGGCATTCCTCCAGGCGCTGCCGCACGGGGGCCGTTTGTTCCCTGGCCTGCGCCCGGGCAGTGCGATCGGTGTCTTCCGTGAGTGTCTGCGCGCATGCGGTGTGGCTGACGCGGGCGCGTTCGGCGCGCGCGACGCGCGCCGCGGGCGCGCGCTCGACATGCTGTGCAACGGCGGGGGCCTCAACGAAGTGCTCGCCGCCGGCCAATGTCGGAGCGCCGCGTCGCTCCTGAGATCGTATTTGCTTTTTGACCGCATCGAGTCTGCCGCCGTACTCGAAGCCGCGGTCGCAGAGAGCGGTGGCGAGGGCGATCAGGGCGCTGGCGCTCCTCGCGAGCCACGCGAATCGCGCCGCGGGCGCAGTCGGACGCCGGCTGGCATCGTGGCGCGAGCTGGCGCGCCTCGGCCCAGGAGCCGAGCGGGCGCCGCGGCCGTGGGCGCTCGCGCGCGCCGCGCCCATCGTGTAACGTTCCCGCGCTCCGCGCGAATCGGGCCGCGGACGCGCTCGTGTGTCGGCAGAAATTGCGGCGCGATTCAACGCGCCTCGGCTCAGGTGCCGCGCGGGGGTCGCGACCGCAGGCGCGCCCGCGCGCGCCGCGTCCATCGCGTAATTTCCCCGCGCCTTGCACCTCTCGCGCGACGCGTTGCATCCCGCGCGCTGTGTCGGGCAGTGGGTGCCGCGCGCCGTGATGCGCGGCGCCGCGCGCTCGTGCGCAGCCAGTTTGGCATTGGGTGTCGCCGCGCCCGAGCGCAGCAGCGGGGTGCGGCGCAGGCGCGCCCGAGCAGCGCCGCGCCGCCCCGCTGCGCGCCGCGCCCGTCGTCGGGGTGCGAGGACGCTCGACGGACAGGGTGGCGCTCCTTGAGCGCCAGGATGGCGCCAGATAGGGGGCCCCCGGGCATTTGTGATGGCGCGCGGCGCGCGCGTTGCGCAGTGGCGCGAATGCCTGGGGGGGGCCCGCCACGAGTGCACTGCGCGGCGCCTGGCGCGGTCACGCGCGCGCCGCGCTGGGGGGCGGAGGACCGCGCCGCGAGAAGTGCGGCGCCTCCGTCGGGCACGCGGGGCGTGGGGTCCACACCTGCGCCGCGCGGCGCAGGGGGTGCCGTTGCGCTCCCCGTGGCCAGCCAAGCCTCTCTCTTGTGCTGCGCTTCGGTGTCGGGCGGGGCTTCCCGTTCCTCTTCCGCGACGCCGCGCGCCCGCGCGCGCGTGCGGTCGCGCGTCGTCTGTCGGGCGTCGCCGCGCCCGAGCGCAGCAGCGGGGTGCGGCGCAGGCGCGCCCGAGCAGCGCCGCGCCGCCCCGCTGCGCGCCGCGCCCATCGTCGGGGCGTGACAACGCTCGACGGACAGGATGGCGCTCCTTGAGCGCCAGGACGGCGCCAGATAGGGCCCCCCAGGGCATTTGTGTGTGTGTGTGGGGGCTGATGAGCCCGTAGATGACGTGGGCGGCCGCGGGCGCGACGGCGGCCGGGGCCTTTTGCGGGGCTGCGCCGACGGGGGCGACAGCGACCGCATGTTCGGATACTGGGTCCATGCCGATCGTCACTGACCAAGAACTACGAGCTCAGCGACGTGGCGTTGGTTCGCCGTGGAGGAATACAACCAACACTTCACGAGTGAGCCCGAAGATGAAACATGGGGAGAAGTACGGACGTCCCGACGCCCGGCCTGGGCGCATGGAACCGGGCAAGTACCTGCGGGAACTTCCGCGCCCGAATCGCAGGTTCGAGAGGCGCTGAGAACGGCCGCTGCGCCCCTGCCTGCGCCGCCGCCGCCGCCAACGCCCAAGGCGAGGCCGGCCGAGAAGGGCATGGGCAAGGGCCCGAGCACTGGCTGGGGCCATGGAAAAGGCAGAGACCACCATGGACAACGCCAACAAGGCCAATCTCAGTGGAGCTGGCGGTTTGGCCGCGATTGGAATCGCCAGCAACGTCGAGAAGATGGTTGGTGGAAATAACTTACTGCACATGAGCTGGTACGACTCCGTCGGCAGCAGGGCCGCGCTGCTCGGCTCCGCCGACG